AAAAATAAAAAAAAAAAAAAAAAAAAAAAAAAAAAAAATGAGTTTCCGCGTCACACTTAACAAATGCTAAATATCCCCAACGCGTGAATATTCATGCAGCGCAAACGCGTAAATCTCCATGATAAATATCCTCAACTGCAAGGCTATCTATCCTTACGTAAGCAAATTGTACATCCCGTAGGAGGATATCATACACACAGTAAACGCGCGCGAGGCGACGAAATATAAATTGTATGGTTTTTAGCGCGCTGTGTGCTATCAATTGCCGTTGGCCACGGGTATAATATACAAGATAAATCTAGATACGCAGGAGAGAGAGAGGCTCTTCTCGCGGCTTCTCTCAGAAATTCAGGCGCGAGTTACACTTTTTAGCCGAGGCTTACCTCGTGGACGCGCACGTGCTCATTAACATGAATTATGTATGCACAGCTCTGGTGGTGCGCGTAAATACACACCACCACTGGATCTAGTATAACTCATAACCCGGTAAATATAATATATACATATACATTCTCGTTAACAAATTTGTCCAGGTATAAGTGAAAACAAGGTTGAAGGAATTTGAGTATAGGTTCGTCGTAAAAAAAAAAGAAAAACCAATTACCTCGTTGCAGTAAATCCTGTACATATTTACGCAACTTGTGCCGTTATACATCCTGCAATTCTATTTCCACGACAGGACTGTTATAAATACCCGAAGGGATGTACGCGTCACCTTGAGTTATCAGCTATATATCACATTACAAGTATAAAGTACGCCGGAATTTGTAAAAACCTCCCAACTACCCTCATCATCATAATCATCCATAGGTATACGTGCACAAAACGATTTGTCGAAACAACCTTTATACGGATATATGTATAGTATTAATGGTACGCACATTCCATCGCCAACTTGTTCCAAGGTACATTTTTAATCCCACTTGAGCTATACGTCCGAACTAATATTTATGGTAAAAAAAACAAAAAAAAAAAAAAAACAACAACTCTCCTCAATGAGATGATATACAACATAACGGGGAGAAGACACAATGGGGGAAACGTCCACGTGCCCGTATACCTACCTGCTATACCTATACATGGCACAGAAGTGTCGAACCCTACGGAATGCAAAAAGAAAGAGCAGCCTTAATTGCAGCCAGTATATAGACACAAACTGCGGAGCGCTCCCCCCCCCCCCTTCCCCTTTTCAATTGCATCGTAGCGGCAATGTAGCAGCCGCGGTGGAAAAATGTTAATTGGTCATTTATAGTAGCACTAATATACGATGTTATTGATTTATGAAGGTAGTAATCGCCGAGCCGTTCAATCGACTGTATAATATGTATATATACGAGAGTATACGCGATGGGGGCGAGCTGCCGAGCCAAGGTGTACCTATACATGTATACATACCCTGCAAGGCCGCGTCGGTCTTCAATTAGCACTTGCGATCCTCCTGGTGGCCAACGATGGGGTGAAAAAAGGGACCTTCGGCCCAAGAGGAATCTTTGGAATTTTTGGGTTTTCTTTGCATTCCCTCCCCCAATGTTTCAGTTTGAGGATCCTCAAGTATAATTACCGGGCAAAGTAACTTACGTGACTCGAGTCAGATTTTTTTTTTTTTTCATCTTCGACACCTATATATGTTGCATCGTGTGTAGCGGTCTTACAACTTTTACTGGACTCATCTCTCCTCCTGTCTATTATATTCCTTTTTTTTCTCCCTAGAAAGTCCAGTACGAGCTCACGCGTACAGTATACGTATATATTGTATGGTATATGGGATCGGTATATATAAATAATGTAAGAAAAAGGAGTAAACACTACTCACCGGCAGAAGAAGCAGAGAGGAGGGCGAGTGCCTGGCGGCAGCCTGTCTGACTCGGAAAAAGTGCAGCATGGGGTCGTTGTTTTCGCGGAGCTCGTCGAGCGTTCGCCGGGCCTCGACGTACCGTTCCAGGAAGGACCAGTACGCACTCCAGAAACAACCCGGGAACAGCTCGCCTGCGCGCAAATTTCATCGGTGCTTTGATATATTGCCTTTGAATTTCCCTTATTTTCTACCAATTACATTATTTATGTGTACGGATTAGAGCAAGGAGGGGACGAACGAGCGGCTATGAGAATTTGCTGCTTGCCAAAGGAATACTGACTGTATGGCTTCAATATTGTCGAGTGGTGGACATTTGAGCGTTGGATGGCGTTACTTTTTTTTACGTGATTTTGGTGAATTTCATTAACTAGGTCTACTCACCGGGTTTGAAGGTTTCACCGCTCCAATTGTCCAGTGTGTTTTTTATCTGCAACACAACGAAAATATTACGACGGTACAGCTAAATCTCGAATGAGAATTCATACGAAAATACAAATTATACCAAAGATTAATTCTTTATTCACAAATTTTTCTTAATTTTTCCACAAAAACAATTAAAAGTATTCTTTTTTTCCTACGGCGACGGATTATTCTTCATCCCGAGTATATCAGCAATCGGCGCGTATCGCACCAATTTACTTGTACGAGCTTGCGCATAAATTGGCCAACGCAAACAAAGAATCCACCAATGCGCACCGACTTCTCACTATGATAATGAAGTCCGGGTGACGAAATGTCATCGTCTGGTTGCCGTCATTTTTCTTGCACACGCGATTTATTTATTTTTATTTTTTTTAGATCGGTATCAGGTGTATGTATAATATTGTTTGCGACCCAACTGGTTCTGATCGCCTTGTGTCTCTTTAGGCTCAATTACATACACCTCAAGAGCCGTGCCACTTGTCTTCTCGTATTCGGCTGCGACGCTCCAACCAAACTAATATTCGAGCAATCATCATCGGTACAAACGTCAAACTACACCCATTGAGTAGTCATCATCGCCCGCCCGAGGCATCCGATGTATCATCGGGCCGAATTGACCTCGAAAGCTCCGAAACGAGAAAATAATCATTTTATAGGAACTCTTTTGCATTTCGTAGCGATTACCTTGATTTTTCAAGCTACATCGACATCTCCGGCGTACCGATCACTCAAAACGCGCGTCCTCCACCATCGGGAGCAACTCGGGCGCGTGGGAGAGCGATTTCCAAGCAGTATAATAATATACACTCCATACAACACACGGTCGCGCAGTCGTTCTCGTATACAGATCTCGCGAATACCCGGGCATTTTTTCCCGCGTCGCGGCTATCTCCGCTGTCTTATCAGATGCGTTACGCGCAAATCTAGCCCAGGAATTTCTTTGTCGGGGAGGGGAATAATCCACAAAGGAAGCCAAAGAAAGGGCTATTGAACTCGCCGGCTCGCCAACTCCGTAGCCCAGCGTGTGCATTAAAGTCACCACGGTGTGGTCGCGGTCCTCAAGTATATATAGGGGGGGACGATCGGGGACCATGAATTGCTGCAGAGCTGGCGTGACAAGGGAATATATTATATGGTAGGTGCTCTTCCTCTCTCTCCGGCGTACCAGCACTGTTGTCACCAGCCACGATGAGACGTTATTTCTAAGTTTATACGTATATACATGGCTAACAAAATACCCTTGGGTGGAATGCCAGTTTTGTTCAAAGTTAAATCGGTTGGGCAAAATACAAGGCGCATGTATATATCATCCTACGGCGATTAAAAGGTCAATTGCATAACATGAGCGACGGGTACTTTTATGTACGAGTACAGGCGATATATCTGATGAAGGTCGGCCGGTACCTAATGCGATTTAAATTGCGGTGCATTTCGGCCGGTGGTCCCCCCCATCAGCTCGACCGGCGCCTTTCCCTCATTATCCCTCTCTGGAAGTCCCGTGTAAAATCTACAATATATACTTACACTCGGGTGTATTTTGGTTCTTTCTCTGCTGCTCTTGCCGCAAATTGCGCGTGCGTGTGTGTGTATTTAAATGCCAAGGTGAGACGAGGCAAAAAAAATAAATAAATAAATAAAACTTGAAAGCTGCACGCGACGGAGCCGATCCTTTTTCGATATTCTATACTTTAGGGATTTTACGTCCCTGCGAGCCAATAAGTCCAGAGAACGGCTTGTGCATCGACAAATTAAAAATGAGCAGTTGGACCTTCTTTTGTAATTCGTTTTGGTATACGTCTTTCGAGTGAAGGACGCTGCCACAAAGTTGAGACGGAAATCAGCAAATTATAAGAGTCTCTAGGTATATCGTGCGTTAATAACACAACGCTTGATGGATATACGCTGGCATTCACCTAATGCAAATAGTTACGATGATCCAGGGGATTATCATCATCGTACATTGTGGCTCGTTGCGATGCTGCAGGTTTGCCGACGAGTGTCGTTCAAGGAATCCGAGGTGTTTGAGTTTTATGTATTACGTGGAGGTAAAAACCCCCTCGAGCGTTCATTCATAAACCGTGTCTCTGACTTTGCCGGGTGGTATATGTGTAGGGGTAACGCGTGTACGTTAGTTTTTCTCTATTCAGCTGTACCTATGTACGTATGGGCATTATTGTACGGGGGATGAGATTTCTCGTACTTCCGGTGTGCATCTGACGCGAAATAAATTTCGATACGTAATCGTTACCAACTACCGAGTAGATTTAATTGCATTGGAACGAAAGATTGAAAATGAACATAATTTAATATTTACCTAAACAAAAGTTCTTTGAAATCTCCAAAGATCGATTGAAGCTTTTGTCATTGGTTAGGACTGATGACGCAGTTTTTTTTTAAATATCAATTAAATTGTAGAAATAACTAAAATAAAATTAATTTTCAATAGAAAAAATATGTCTTTTTAAAATCAATACTCAGACAAAAATTGTGTTTTATTACAATTAGTGTGAGCTAATACTGTACAATTTTATTTTGCGGTTTTTAGAATATCCCGGATGTTTACGGACATAAAAATGTTTGTAAGCAATGATAAATGATGTTACAATGATGATTTCATCGACGAAGCATGTCAAACATGACTGTTTGGTTTGTAGTAAAAAATGAAACGATTTAATTAAAATTCCGATGATGTTATCAAAAAAACGCATCAAATAAAATTACCCACACGTTAGTCAGTAAATAATAGATAAACGGATGTGCACACGAGTAAAGATTTCGTTACGTCAAAAGCAACTCCATCTATCGATTCCAGCACAAACAACGCCTTGCTAACACTGACTTGCCAATCACGTTCTATAGTCATGTACAATGTACACTGCAATGTCGGTAGAATTGCTACACACATTATTATATATACGTATATGGTATACATATAGATACACGTAAAGAGGAAGAATACACCTCGCTACGCTGTTTCCCGCTGTACGCAGCGTAACAGCGGGTTACCTGTTTGCAGGCGCTGCGAAAGTCGATGTACGCGCTTTCGACGATTCCGATGATTTTCGCGAATTAATATCAAAACACACGAATGATTCCACAAAAACTCCACCGTATTATTTATTACTCAAAAATAGACAAAATAAATGTAAAATGTCTCATTCAAATGCTGTTGCAACACCCTCGTCGACAACGAAATTACCAACAAAAAAGGAAGGAAAAAAAACTCACCCTATGGCACAGTTCCGTGCTGATTCTAACGAGATCCGTCAAGGGCTGAAAGATGACGTCGCGGAACTCGGGGTAACTTCGGGCCAGTGGTCCAGCGTACAACTCCTTTGCGCTGCACAAGCACTCCCGGTACTCCTCCTCCGCGTTCAGTAGCTTTTCCGTAGCTCTGTACCGCCTGTCCGTATCTGCGGAGAAAAAAAAAAAAGAGAATCACTCGCACGACTTGACATGTCACACCTACGCGTACAGTATTGGGTATATATATATATATGAATTGCTCTCACCTCCCACGGGACTGTACTGGCGGGCCGCGTCTTCGATGAGCAGAACCTCGCCTTGGAGGAGCGCCACGTCCGCGGCTGTGTCGACCTCGGCCCTCGAGCCGGCTAGTAGCAACCTCGGCCGGCAGACCCGGTACTTCAAGAGCACCGGCCCTACCACGGAGGACACCGGCCCCGGTGACATTGCGGCTAACTGAAACATTACAAGTATACAATTATGTTAGTTTGGGTCGCGCTTAATCGAGGCCAAATTTTGTAACTTTTATTTTATGAATGTTTACTTCGATTCAGTTTTTTATGTTTACAGGGACGTTTTACATTGTAATCGCAACGATACTGGCATGGTGCGTTTAATGTTACCTTAAGTGGACATTTCGAATCTTATAGGACAAAACAAAACCAATTCACTTCAAAAACAAAAGTATTTTCATTGTTTCGGATGAGTGTATTGAAAATATACAAACATATAGTATATGTACTTGTATCGTTTGAAATGCGGTGATTCATCGCGCATCGCGTATATTTTAATACGTTTGTGAAAGAAAAATGGTCTAGTATGACACTCGCGCAAAACACAAGACTTGCCAAGCTCTGCGTGACTAATTTTTTTTTTTTTTTTTTTTTTTTTTTTTTTTTTTTTTTTTTCATTCCTTTACAGCATATTTATATTCTGGTTAACTAAACTTGAGTCACCCAACGAGCCTCTTTAAATAATTTTCTTATTAAATCTTCATCTTTAGGGATCCACTTACTTTTTAATCTTTATTCCTGACACTGTTAAACACAGCACAGTTGGTTATGGCCTAAAGCACATTCAGAAAGCGCAAGCTTGTCTTTGAGGTCAACATTTTCGGCTTGAAAGAAAATCCAAACTAAATAATGGCTGTATCTCCGTAAATAATGCAAATATCGAGAAAAGGACTAGAATTCGTGATCAGTGTATTTGAAAAAAAAAATTGATTTTTCAAATCCCCACCTTTAAAGATCTGCTCAATATTTAATCTTCATTCCCGATACCTTACAGCTCTATTATTAGTGAATTGTGATGTACAGAACCATCAAAAGGCCTAAAAGTCAACATTTTTGACTTAAAATTATGCATCCTTCTTTTTACGATGAACAAGAGCACTAATTCTTTCTACCACATGTACTGATGGACCAAAAATACAACTGATGGGCACGTTTAGAGCCTTCAACGATGACTATTGCAGTGGCAAAAAAAAAAAAAAAAAAAAAAAAAAAGATTGAAACAATAAAAAACCAAAGCGCGAATTCGGCTCGTTAATTTGTCAGCCAGCACAGCCGAGCTGATCGAAAAGTGATGAGGGTCGACGGTATGTACATATATATTTATGTATGTATCCACACGTAGCCGCGGTGTGACACGCAAATGGGGAGAGCATTATAATATGATCACTGCGGGTGTCGTCGACGTCAACCAACGCACAACCGGTCCTCCTGACGGACAGACACTATATATACTTGTAACTTAGTGGAGGGAAAAAACATCCCGCAGAGAGCCAAAGGTAAACCTACACCCCATACACCACACGGCGTAAAATTAACCGATCCATCAGCTGATAATAATAATTTCGATGCTCTCGGTTGTTCCTGTCCCTGTTAGGTGTCCATCTGCGTTAATTGGACCTTCGCTCGGACCACACGACGTCTGGCCAAGTTTATCGCGGCGCAAAAAATTTTGAGCGAATTTGACTGCCCAACCAAACCACACGGGACACGTGTCGCGCCTTACATAAGGGCGTCCGCGTAATATGGTCCGATGGGTTATTGTTTACCAAGTCGGATAATGAGGATTGGAGGACGGGGCATCTTGCGAAAAGCCAATGTACGGCTAACAATACGAAATGCCTGAATGGACGTGACTCACAAACGACGCGATCGCTGTATTTATCAGTTTTTTTATTGTCTAATGCGATGATTCACGATGATGGTACCGATATGGCAGTAGGAAAAAGTTATTGTCTTTTGAAACTAAAATGCTACTTTTCACGTATTATCGATACGATCGCAAATCACGTGTTTAGTCATTTCGGTGTTTCCTTTTTGCAGCGCAATTTGTTTGAGGTAAAAATAACATATTTTTCGGACCTTTAAATATAACAGCGTGTCACCCGCACGACCAAGACTCGCAATTACCATCATAAACTCGAGAATGAAAAGCGAACGTGCAAAAAAAGAGAAACAAAAAAAAAATCATCGTCCGCACAAGAAGAAGAAGCGCGTTGACCTGTATGCAACACTCGCGAAAACACAAGCGCGAAGAGTGACAAGTATGTGGGGGAGACGGTAGCTCTGCACAACAAAAGCATAATCATCGTCGTCGACACTTGCGCTCTCTATATAGTTCTCGCGTCACGCGCGCACACGCCCACTCTCGCTTTTACACGTACACCCTACAATATTGTATATGTATGTAATATATAGGCACACGTTAAATATAAAAGCCGCGTTAAACTGGAATACCTGTATGCGTATATATCGTATGTATGTATGTATCTCGAGACTGAATCTAAATTGCATAATTATACCGGTTTTTCGCGATTTCATCGGGTCGTCGTTGGATACGTCCTCTGTCTTGTCCGGCCCTCCTTCCCTTCTTCGTGTACACACACACACACATGTATATACATGGAAGACACAATAAGAAGGAGCCCTTTTTGCCTCGTTATAAGCGCGGGTTTATGCGCAAATTGCTGCTCGCCCACTCTCGCAGTTTGTAATGCCTGCACGCGCCCAAGTCTTCGTCCACTGGTTTCGTCACTCGTGTTTTTTTTTTTTTTTTTCTTCTTCGTTTTGCAACTTGGCCTATCTGTCACGCACCGCCTATCGGAGCTTGAAATTCACTTTTCCTTTTCACGCGCACGCGTTACAATGCCAAAACAGCGTTCTCTTTCTTTATTGTTCCCCGAATATTTTTCAATAATCATTCGCAATACGTGATTCATCTACTGCGTGCGGTAGTCCATAAAAAAGAGGCAAATAAATTCCTTTGATCTCGAATAATTAGCCATCATCCCTTTTCGGACCCTTTTTTTTTTAAGATACAGGACATCTCTTGGCTTGAAATTTCAAGTTCTTCAAACCCTCTTGATCATCATGGGACTGCAGTCGCAATTATACTCCCTCGAATCAAAATTAACGATCGACTTCGGCGAGGAAGTACCGGCGATTGGAACTATTTAAAAAAAGAGGGGTTCGTCCCTCCGTCAATTGAAGCATCTCAGGGGGGAGGAGGGCTTGAGTTAAAGCTTGCGATTCTTCCACGCGAGTATAATCGAGTTGGCACACTGCAAATTGAATAAGTTGTCGTTCCGAGTGGAGACGATTTATTTCATTTCGCGTCTTGTTCAATATATTATTTATAATGTCTCGGTGCTTTTTTTTCGGTCGAGTGACTTTGAGGTGGGACTTTGAATCGTATTTGGTAAAACAGCGCGACTTTCTCTCTCGATATCTTGCGTCACGACGAGATGACGCTTCCAACAAAAGCACTGAAAAATTTTCATCCTCCTAAGGTATAGATCATAGGTACACATTGTCTATTGGTAGTGAGTCATCCGAGTGCAAAGGCGTTAAAATCGCGTACAATAAACACCAGCAGTTGTTGATTTTTTTTTCTCTCTCTCTCTTGCACCACGTCGTATAGGTATGCGAGGCTCTTTGTCTCCCTCTTTCCTCGCGTGGATGGGCAAAGCATATCCTGCCCCTCCCAATAAGAGACTCTCGTTACACGAGACAATGAAGCGCCGTTGCGTCGATTGGTGCATAGCTAAGGGGACGGAAGGGATCCTCTCGTCTTGGCTAATAGGCAGAGAAAGAGAAAGGGAGCAGTTAATGCGTCTTGGCCCCTTTTTTTGGTTCCGGCTTGCACTTTGGCCTGCAACTTTTGTGACAATCGAGGGTAAGTACTGTACTACCTTACTGACTTTTACATGACTTTAATATTTTTTTATGTATTTTTTGGTAGGTTTTTTTTCTACACGCCCAATGAGCCGAAAAGCCAGCAGATTTTTTACGTGGCACACCTTCCAAACTCAATTGAGTTCTCAGTTTTGCGAATTGTCAACGTCTTCGGCTCGGTATGACTTATGTACATAGTTAGCCATTCTAAAAATAGAATGGTTGCACAAAAAATACATCATAATACATGCGGTGAAAGTTATTGTGATTTGTTTTTTTTTTTTTGTTTTTTTCACAATGCTTAAAAAATATTGTTGCGAAATGAGAAGTTGACACGTGACCTCGAAATTTTTACGAAGGCTTTGAAGTGTGTCGAAATCGAATGTAAATTAGTCGAAGTATCTTCTTTCATTTACAATCATTTGCAACAGAATAATTGAAAGTACTTTTACGTTATTTTTTTGTCTGGCTGAATTTCGAAGGCATGTAAAAACGGATGAATTACGCACAAAAGAAGTACAGGTCGATGGACGTAATGACTGCGACAAACCAAGAGTTAGAGGCCGTCGACGAGGGTTAACCTCAAGGATTACGTTATTATACATTAAGTCAAATTTACCGAGTCGTTGGGTTATTGCACTTTTCAGGGTCTAACTCGACGCAGAGCTGGATTTTTACACATTTTTTAAAATTTGTTCTCGCAGTTTTCTTAATGGCTTGTGGAAATGTATTGTTAGTAGTGTGAACAAAAAAATAATATCAAAACGTTTAATCATCACAACAACAAAAAAACTAAATTCACACCATGTACCGCACGAAAAGAATTGTTCTCCACGCGCGGACATGTCAAGTATGTGCTTTTCGTGTGAAGCGAGGGAAGTCAAAGGCATTCAGCAGCTGCAATTATTTGGTGGCCTCTAAACAAACAAATAGAAGATGTGAACCTAAAGAGCCAACTGATGTTGATTTGTTTGTACTTACACACAAGTTTCTTGTAATAAAATTTAAATTCTTACAGAAATTCCATAGATTATTCGTCGAAAAATATAACTAAAAGTTACATTAAATTTCTCAAAGTCCATCTTGATGCTGATTAAACAAGGGTTTCTCTTCACTGTGAGTTATCCGACCATAAATATTAGCAATTATATCTTAAAACTGAACGCAAGCAATTACACAATTTAACAAGCGCTTTTATGGTTTTCCTCGAAAATTTCGAGATTCGTACGCTAAACAGGCGCCGGAGGTAAAAGTGCAGAGTTGAGAAAGTAT